ATTTGCTCTTATTTCCATATTGTCTTTCCTATGCACCATTTATCTAAAATTACAAATATAAAAGTGTTCAAATTTTATATAAATGATAATAACATATATGTATACTATAACAAATCTCATATCAAGGCAATAGCATGACAGAAATATCATATACATCAAATTACAGTAAAACAAAAAATTTATAATTGTTCATGTAAATGGTATAATATATATTCATTGCAGCTACAATGGCAGAGTAATGTTTAGGTTGTTGTGTGTATATATTGCATATATGAAAGTAGCATTATGATCTGACTTTCTAAATGATGTTAGGTTTGTAAATATTAATCATTGTACATTCCATCAATAAGAAAATCCATTCGTTTGTAGTGTCTTTTATCCCAACAATCTCTACCTTGTTTATAAACCATGAAAATGATAGCACCTAATACCGGCAAAGCTATAAGAGTAACAATAACTGGTAAAACATAATCAATTTTCTTTGGCATTCCTAAGCGTGAACCTTTAATATGTGGTATAAATGCTTGTTTATCGCTATTAGGTTCATCTATTACTGTTGCAGTTGGTTTAGGTTTATGTTCCTGAATCACTGATGCTGTTGCAGGAACATTTGTTGGTAATTTTTGTGATACATTTGTAGAATTTAAGGTAGTATTTACAGTATCATTTGAAGCATTATATACATTTTTATCAGTAATATTTGATTTTGAACTATTTGCATTCATATCAATATGTTCACTACTGTGAATAACACTTGCTGTTGTTGAAGATTCAATTACTGGCTTTGTATCATTAGATAGTGTCACTTCAATGGAAGAAATATTATCATTTTCTACATCTAACATTTCATTTGCCCCTTTTCTTGATACAATTTTAGAAGTATTCTTTCTTCTTTTTACATATGGAATATTTTCTTCCTTTGATAAAGTAGCTTGAATATCTAAATTGTCTACAATATTTGTTAAGTAAGAAATAGTAGAAGTAATTGAAATTGGACCACCTTCTCCTGCAACTGAAGGAGTAGCAACATTTTTCTGCAATAACATTTACACATATTTCAACAATGTATTTAAATGTTATTAGTGTTTAAGATTATTATGAATGATAAGTTTAAACACATTAATTAGGTAATAAAATTTAAATATATTAACAAAAATACTCATCTGTCAAGTAGTACAACAAAAATTCAAAAATAGTTATTTAAATGGTTATTAAATGTCAAATAAAAATATTACGTACGTTCAATGATTTTGAAGAATTAACAAATTCAGATACAGATTCAATTAGTGAAGATAAAGTTTGAGACTCAATTTTGGAGGCTCCATCGATAAAGCTTGCATTTAACACAGGTGTAAAAAACGTATCACGATCTGTTTTAATTTCATTACTGTTAGATAAGGTTAGAATAGATACGAGCCATATAAACAGAGTTAATCCATAGAAATTTCGCATCACGAACAAACTCATCATTTTAATTATAGAATTATATTTCGTGACAAGACTGGTTGTAGGTAAATCTGGTTAAAACTTTTATAAAAAATATAGTAAAACTAAAAAAAAAGTGGCCTGAACCACTAAAAAACTGGTCGCTCCATCGCAAACACGACTAACTGTTGCATAAATACACATACATCCATATAAGCACGTAGTACGTATATACTCATCATCTATATAAGTAAGTACATACGATTTCACTTTTTCCTTTGATTCGATGAATGCATTTAGAAATTCATTTTTAGTAATACTTAAAAGGAAGTATGATTTTAATCGTATCCTTTCTACCATTATACTTACATTTCCAGTATTTTAAATTATGGATTATAATAATTATTTTGTTAAAATTTCCC